CTTCTTCCTTTGACCCAATTAGTCCGTTGGTTGCCGTTAGGTTTCTTGGCTCCGAGTCCCGTGACTGTGTGGTTCTTTTGTTCATAACGGCTGATAGACTGGGTCACTGTCTATGTGTTTATTGATCGATTTTTGTGTGGAGTACCACGCCTCTGCAAATTCTCGCTCCCGTTTTGTTCTTGCGTTAGCAAGTATCTGAACGTTGTTCCAATTGAACTTGTGTCCTTCTCTATCTTCATGAATTGACAATTGACTATCTGATCACATAAGTATGAAAAGTCATCCACAGAGATTCACCTTGTGCTTCGACCGATTGTTCCACACCAGGTTATTGTGTCCGCGGACCATACCTTCCCTTTGAGGACAAATTGAACCGATAGACCCGAGATAAACCATGTAAAACCTGACCTATCTGTCTGCTTTAGCGAGTAGCAAATTACGGCTGTTGACACGACAAGACGGTGCCGGAAAGAGAGTTTTGAAGCATGCGGTGGACATGCTTTGGTATGTTGTAAGGCCCGTTATTTAGGAGTCCGGTTTTTCTGGTCCAACAAGGTCACAAAAGTCTCGGATAGATGGTGAAAACTCTATGCAAAGTCATTCTCAGGACATACGGTGTTTGGACATGTCTCTGGGGCTTCATGGAGTCACAGTGGAGTCTGTGGAACATTATGCGTATCTCGGATGATGCATGAGCTCTGATGGCATTGTGACAGACGAAATCAACGCACGAATCCGAAAAAGCTACTTATGGCATCAAAAGTGCGTATCACTGGGTCTCAACGGACCTGAATGTCAGACTGAAGTGTGGCCTGAACGGTTGTGAAACTTTGCCAATTCGGGTGTGGAATTTGAGGCATTCTCAGGTCCTTGATTGCCGATGCCTCAAAGTATAGCTGAAGTCAAACAGGAACCAACGAATGAGGTGATCATGCCTTTGTTGGAGAAGACAGTATTCCACCCAAGAAATGCACCGAGCACTGCAAGCCAAGGTGGCTGGATTATTTGTCACGAATGCTCAATCAGCACCTGCCGAAACGAGCGCTGTTTTCGCTGCCTTATTCAGAGTGTCAGAAACCTAGAGGCGGAGAGAATCTAACATAGCCTAATTGAATGAAGGGTGTTACGATAGTGTCGCTTACCCTCCCAGGTGAGGTAACCCTCCCTAGGCTTAGTTAGTTGTGCTGAACGATATAGTGGTTAAGCGATGTCAATGGAGTCCACACTCTGTGTTTGACCGTGTTGCAGATGTAGGCACCTCGGGTGTGCATGTCAAGCTAGCCCTAGTTCCCCTCCCTTCCCCATCTCTTTCTTTCGATCATACTACTTAATTGAAATAAGCTGACGTGTTTGTCTAGCAGTGAGGCACCAGTGTTTTTCTACTGGTGTTGCTGATAAGGTTGTTTTTGAACAGGCTAGGAAGTCCCAGTCGTTGATGTAAATGCCATGATGGAGGGGCATCACGTAGAAATTCGGACTCCTCATTTGGAGCAAGATGGCTCAGTAGTTAGAGCGCGAAATCGGAAGATTCGTGGTTCGAATCCGACCGCCGCCTCTCGACTTCCCCCGTCTAGGCTTGGGCAATCTGGTAGTATCCCAACCCTCGTGCCTCTTTCTGGTGGCATGGCCGTTAGGCACCAAAAGGGTGTTACAGCTGAACTATTTTCTTTCTTACTTCAAACTGGTCCACAAGCTCAGGGAATTACTAGCCGCCTAGTTGGACGTTTCATTTTATTACCTCAATAACAACCGGCGTAACGGCGGACACTACTGATGAGACATACGAGTAGTATGTGGTTTTGTCATAGCTTCGCCTCATGTCTAACGGAAGCTGAATTTTATTACGGAACTTATGGAACTGCTGTGCAGCCTGCGTGTACAATTACGTAAAACTGTGTACATAGGAGATGTTTACTTTCTTCTCCAGTAGTTTGTAACTGTTTACTTGGTGTTCGCTAACAAACAACTCCGTGGCAGAGTACTCTCGTCCTTACGCCGGTATGGTGTGGAGCATAAATGGTTTGATTCTCAACTCCCACACATTCACTTAAGTGTTGTTCTACGCGACTCGGTTGTGTGCTCTTAGCTGTTCGATTGTTGTTAGGCTGCGATGAAGGACGCACTATGCGTCTTTAAGTCATCGAAGTACAAAATATGCATATTTTGACCTTGGTCGAATGAAACCAGACTTTCGGTGTTGAAACCACCGGACTTTACGAGATTTTTTAGCAAGCAATCGGTTCCTGTCCCATACGATTCAAGTTGCTCGATACAAAGTTTTCTGCCGCGATTAATGATACCCAGTTACAAGAGCAAAGCGTCAGCAGAAGCGTACCTGCAATTGCCAGAGTTACAATCAATCGGTGTGAACTTTATACCTACTTAAATCACGTTGAGTGCCTTTCACTGTAAGCTCCCAGTTCCCTTTCGGTTACAGCTGGCACTGCAATGCCCCTCGGATAAGATATTCTATCGACGCTGGTAAGTAATCTAATAGGAACAGTTCCGGAGTGGACGCACTGTCATTGCGATCCTGAGTTTGAATTTTTACCCTAAAACGGGTCTTATATGGGCGGTTATTGACTGATCGTGTCGCCCCGTAACTTGTGACAGGTTCGGCACCGTCTCCTACACCTGTATGACGTCTTATCTGTCAAGTGACACTTCTTGTTAAACAAGATGCTCTCGTGTTTGATCGGAGTTTTGAAGTTTGGGTCGCTTTCGGATATCCGGGAGGAGGATCCTCCAGTCATCAAGGCGGTGAGTTGTGGGATTTTCTTGAGTGGAGGCCAACGACTCAAAGGTTTGATCCATTTGGTTTTCTGGGCTTACGTAGACCTAGGATAAGGCACAGATATCTCACTCAGTAAGTACGTATATCTGTTTCCACATTGGTTTCAACGCGCGGAGATTTTGCTTGTTTGTGTGACTTCTCTTGAGTGAAAATACACAGCCGTTCAGCTACTACCAAAATGTCGGTAGTCCATTCAGAATGCTCTGCTGAAAGACTGACAGTGAGCATTCCGTCTGCACCACTGTTCTGGTACTTGTGCGATTGATACTGATCGTTCATACATAGTTCATACACATGTGTATGAACTACTAGCCCACTAAACACAAAAGTGGAACGGGGGTTACAAATAGGGAGGGAAGAAACATGGGGAATTTCAACTGCCTAAATAATGAACGATGCCATGAATACGAGTTCGTTACGAAAATTGTCCACAAGGCCTACTAAGAAAGCCTCACGTGTCCGTCAAAACCCGCCTAAGGTTCATCGAAACCCCCCGACAGCCTGATTGGGCCCAAACGTGATAGACGAGGACTAACATTAATCCATCTGCTGTCACCTGAGAACTAAGTTTGGTCGATAAATTTGACTTGACAGCAGACGGAATTGATTCTTGATGCTGGAGCACAGCTGACTCAAGTTTGTATTGGTGATCACCTACTGAACTTCCAGATTACAGCCGTCACATTTCACCCGTATTCAACCTAGACTGTCCTCAGGAAACCACACATACTACAAACAGACAAATAGCTCATCATATAGGCTGATCCAGCTTAGCTGTCCTTCGTTGACGCCCTATTTGCCGAGTTCTACACAATGCTTTAAGTAGAGATGAACAAGTATCTTTTTGTTCATCCTGAGTTCTCCCGTCCCACATTATTTCTTCAACACATTTCTGTTGATATATTTGTACAGCCAGAGGTATTTTGTATCTGTGCCTACAATCAGCCTCAACATGCCTCAAAAAGTGAAATGTGTGGTTCGAATTTCTAACCATGACTCCACAACTGACCCAGAACCAGGTGACCTGACAATACCTCAGTGGTTTGGTGGGGAGGTTTTAGTTTGAGACGATAGTGTTGCTCGAATTCACATAACGCAGTGAAAAAGGCAGATGATCATGGAATAGTTTGGCTGGTTTGTGTAAATCTAATCACATATCACTTTGGCTTTAACGAGATACTCACCTGAATCCCAGCTTAACCCCGTGTATGTGATGTCACACACTCTCTCTTCTAAAGACAAAACATGTCTTCTTGTACCTCGTGTGTCCTAATGAAAACAGAGTAGTTTCAGCGTCTTGTGAGAACAGTATAAACTGATAAGTCACAAGACCCGTGCTAGAAAAGTTGACAGACTGAGCCAACCACAGACTGCCTGATTATGCCACTCTAGACCTGCGTAAAATGACAGCATGTCAACTTCGGTGATCCGTATCGGTTGTATGGAAGCTATTCACAGGATCGTTCCGTTCGGATTTTATCCGTCTGAACTAGATAATAGATAATCACTCAGCTATAACGCCCTTCCAGTGCCTAGCTGCCATGCCACCTCAAAGAAGCACGAGAGCTGGGATACTGGCAAGTTGCCCAAGCTTAGGCAGGAGACGTCGAGATGCAGGGGTCGGGTTCGAACCATGGACATTTGGGTTTGTAAATTCGCGCCATTTCTCCAGTTCATTCATTGGTCCATTCCCTTGGAGTCAGTTTATCAAGTCTAATTTTTGAGAACGGTTTTGTAGAAAACGTCTCGAAGTTGCTCACTAGTTTTTCGCTCCCCTGTAGTGAATGGATATCGATCGGTCGTCCACACTTCCTCACTGTTATTCATTCATTCAGCCTGAACTTAGAAAACACAGCCGAATAAGTTGCACACACGCACATGCATACACAGACTGTCTGACCAGAACTGCCCAATCATAGCATTTCGATCCGTTTCTGCTGACTCATAGCTTGACTTTCATCCTCGTCATCTTGACCAATGAACATTGCTGTTGACTCACCCCACTTCTAGTCACGTGTTAGGTGTGCACCGCTGCTTTTGGTTTTGTATGATCATGTCGTCTGTTTGAACGAGGTAGCCCAGGAGCGATCAACCACATTTTCAGATATGATCCTACTCTATCAGGTGCGATACTTCACGGTCTTCGGAACATATCTCGTTGATGATAGCCCAACAAAATACGCCTTGTGAATGGACGGTTATCTTTGTTTATTGTGGATGGCATAAAAAGCTATGGTGTGCAATTGTTTTATCACATTGATTCGTAAGGCCAATTGGAACGCATGGGTCTTACAGAGCAAATCACATGCAAGGAAGACAAAACAAATGGGGATGGGTATACGAATCGCTCGTATTATTTATGCCTGGAAGTGTTCCAGCTCGGAGTCATCGTCATCATCATCCCGAAATGGTCTGACCGGCGCGTATTTGGGATGAATTCGACCTGACTGTGTCTGGTTTGACTCAGTTAATTCGGGCAAAGTAGGAATGGAAGTTAGTTGTTTTGGTGGCGCGTGGGTACAATTGCCTGTCCGTCCTCGAGAAGGCTTTGTGTCGGGAAGACGTTTTACGGGTGTGCCGAATTCACTTCGTCTCTGCTGTGCTGTACGTTTGGATTCCGCAAGTTTTGTGAAGTTACCACTATTTTCATTGGCTTGCCTCACTGCCCGAGTGATAGGGATTCGTGTTGCCGTTTTCTTCTGAAAAATAATAGCCATTCGAACACATGTCAGTATATTCTTCCTGAAATCGTTATCAATTCAGCTGGTTGAATTGGAATCTCCAGAGAATGGTTCAGACATGCACCGAAACATGACTAAAGTGCATGTGTTGTCTACACAGTATCAGCTGTTTCGAGAGAAAAGATTAGTGCTGATCGGTCCACTCATTTGTGACTAGTAGCCAGGGCTAGCACAGAAAAAAAGGGATTATCCGAGTCAAATACATCCTGTCAGTTTGACATGAGCCGATTATTGATTAAGTACCGGCAACTGATAAAACACGTGACATAGCGCCCGTCGACCCGAAAGTACACACTGGAGGTGGATGTGGCGTGCTCAGAGGTATAAAACGACCAGGTAACATCAAATACTGTCGCATTATTACTGATCATATCTCAATCATTCTGGTGTTGTGCACAGATGCATCTATGTATCACGTCAAGCTGTAGTGCACGCCACAAGAATCGAGAGTTCTCACCGGCTGCTTAAACATGTACCTGTATGGTTTTTTATGTCAGCTGACTAAAAAACCGTCAGATCCTATTGCAAGAGGTCGTTCAAACCGATTCATAGGGTAATATCAACGTTTACTATTGAATTTGTGTGTCAGGATTCATAAACCATTTCCAACACATGTTCCCTATTGGAATTCAGCCCAAGTAACATGAAAACAACATCAACACATCACGCGCTCTTCGACAAGGGAATTGAGACCAGTCCGATTGGGGCTAGTCCGCAAAGTAACTGCCTATCTTATGGGGAGGGAATTTCCGGTGCGCTCAACACAAACGCCACACTGTCTGGGCCCGCGAAGAAACCGAACGCCAGCATTTTGTCCGGGGGCAAATGCCCCTGCCCCATTCGCACTGAAAAGTGACCTTGTCACCACATGCTCACATGTCCATAAACGAGGCCAACCAAGTGCATGAAGCTCAACGTGATAAGTCCCACCGAAATTCGATCAAGCGCTGGGGCCTAGTCTTCGCAGATCAACTGCCCGTCCGCCTGCGAAACCTGCTACTCCCCGTGCTGTTCTGCAGACGACAAGACACGAATGACAATCGATGTGCCTGGGGTTGTCGTAAGACAGACCTGGTGCCGTCATCTACACGGCTGAAACTGATGACACTGAAAACGATAGACACTTGCGGCAGCGGAAAGCACGTTTTCGAACTTCGAACGCACCGGCACGGTAGACAACGCATACAACATTGTGATTCTCTGGTCAATTGTTTTGTACGAGGTTTTACAAGAAGCAAATAAAAAATTCGAGAGCAACATGCGAAAAAATTTTGAACAATGTGACCCAAAACGATGTGCACCACATGGTCATTTGGAAACATTAAATTAGAAAGTTTCTTAATCTGCATCAACTGTAGCAAATCCACTGGGACAATCTCGAGCGTGGGCACATTTCTTGCACCGGTTCATTGACGACGTTGCCATCTTGAACAAAGATTCACCGTACAGTTTGTTTTCGAGTGATTACCTAAGCAGTGTAATATCTTCAAAAATATAACTCTATTCATACTTAATTGCGATCACTCTAAGCATACAATGATTTTCGGCTTCCCATCGGGTATGACAAGTGAAATGACTTTTTATTTTGTTCCCACTTCTGCTCAACATCCAAATTTCAAAACATCACCCAAGTGAGCTCTGTATGCCGAATTTACGGTCGATATCGATTCGGTACTGTACCTGCGATCGATATTCACTTCGACATAGGCGATTCGTATTGGTCATCATTGCAGCGCTGGCGTCCTTGTCTATTAAACAGTGAGCAGTATTCTAGATACAAACAAAATATGCGTTTCTTTGTGTCGGTTTTGATTTGTCACTGACGAATAATGATTTCGCTTATACGTAAACAGCTGTTGGAATAAGCTCCAGATACCTTGTAGCGAATTTGGTTGGATGAGTGTCCTAGTTACTATTCTTGGTTAGTGGTACAGCGTGCTGCAGGGTATCATTTCGAACGTCCTTATCAACCGCAGTACGCATTACATAATTAACGATTCTACGAAATCCTTGTCACAAATTGACCTGAGCTAGATGTTGGTCAAGGTCACCCGGTCTTTCAGAAAGAATTTGCATACTGATCTTGTAGTACCGATGTGTAGGTAGAGTAAATATCCGTCATTTCTTCCACGGTCTTTTGGATAATCTTGAAGTTTTCTTCATCTGTTATGACAGCTGCTCTTCTCCAAATATCATAGAGGAAATGATCCATCAAATTTTAAATAATTAATTGAGTCTCTCATGCCGAACAAATGGTTTTAGAGTGTGCGTTTTCAGTATGTGCAGTCCGGATCGAGTCCGGTAGGATTCCATTTCTTGAAAAAGGAAGTAGCGTCACGTGGGCTCTTTTTTTACCTGTTGTGGAATTACTTGGTGTTGTACTAGATGCTCCCCTGTTAGGGGCAATAGGAACACGGGTCGGACACTAACTATGGAAGATCGCAGCAACACTACCTAGGAAGAAAAAGAGATCCCATTGTTTTGTAGCTGGAATGTTTGACAAAACAGCCAACTTAACCTCTTGTTTGACGTGAGACGACTTCGAAATACGTGGCTTGTATCGGGCCGGGAGCCCGGGTGTGAAGGCCGTTCTGGTCGATTGTCTGACAGTGGGGTGAAAAATGCTTTTCTGCGTTCTGAGAACCAGTGGAAGAAATCTGTCAACTACGAGATTGTCCCACTGGAATTGCTACGATTGATGCAGATTAAGAGACCTTCGAATTCAACGTTTCTAAATGACCGTGTGGTGCACACTGTTTTGAGTCATACTGCTGAGAAATTTTCCGCATGTTCCTCTCGAGTTACCAATTCGCTTCTTGCGAAACTTCGCACAAAACATTTTGGCCACAGAAACACATTAGTTGTATTGTCTACCTTGCCAACGCACCGACATTTCACCAGAAGTCCGAAAACGTGTCTTTCGGTTGCTAGCCTCACCCCACAGACATTCGTATTGTACTCGTGACCATCATACCTGCGCTACACAAAGAGCATCATCATCTTTACGCGGACAACCAGTGCCAGGTAAAACCGGCTCATCTTGGGGGCTTGACAGTCGCCATTGTCAGTCGTTTTCGGTGTCATCAGTCCCGGCCACGTAGATGACGGTGTGGAGTTTGGCAACCAGTGGCGCATCGATTGTCATTTGTGTCTGCAAGCCAGCACGGGGATTACCAGGTTTCCTAGGCGGGCGTGGAGCTGCCACGCTATGTGAAGACCAGTCACTATCGCTCAATCGAATTTCGACAGACCTTGTCACAGTGACCTTGATTTAACGGGCTGACCTGGTTTATGGACATGTGAGGATGCAATGGCCAGGGAACGTGTGGGTGTTTTCTACCCGATTATCTAATGGCGTAGGCAGTGCGGTGTTTGCGTTGCGTGCACTGATAATTTATTTCCACGTGATAGGTGGCTAGAAGGGCAAAACCGGTCGCGGGCTGTCGAAGAGTTTTCAGCAACTTTCTGAGTAGTTTCCTTTATGAAAATATACTGCGATATCTCGACAACTGAAACATGAGGCAGCCTGTGTGCAGCACATTCAGTTGTAGAATACCATAAACGAGAGATTCAGTTGAGTCTCGTGAAAACCGAATCGATTTGCAACTGAGTGTATTTCTCGAAGATAGGTGGCTGCTTTCCGGACTGATCTTAACAAAAATCACTTTTGAACTTGTGGTGACCCAAGATAAGTTACCCTCGTTGAGTGATTTTCGTTCTCAAGGATACACCTGCAGAGTGTACTAGGTATTTTCACGACTATGATGACAGCCTCTTGACGGAATCAAGTTAGAGGAAGCACCAGGCTAACGAAAAGTACAAAGTCCTCGAAGCGTTCCGGGGACAGATGTTAGATTGTTAAACCATTAACCTCAGCCGTGGTGCGTTTTCCATCATTCAATTACATGGATGTGTGGAACCGAAACACACCGGTGTGCTGGCAATAGGCCCCGGCAAACGTATCGTCAGAGCCAGTCATCTGGGTCAAAACAGTAATATTCCTCGGGGGTAGCTTGATTCAACGAAGGCACGGCCAAGGATTTGCACTGCTGATAAGCGCCAGAAAAAGCAAAGCTCGAATCCAGTTTTCTCCCCTTCTTTCTAGTGTGAACTCAACAGAATGATAGTTCCAGGACAGCGGTGGATTGTTCAAATGGGAGTGATGTGAATGTGAATTAAAATAACAACCAACTACGAAAAATAATGACCTAGTATGTATTACTTCACTTTATTGTGAAGCTTTTACTGTAGGATGTGGTACATAATCAATGGTACTTGTCCTCTCAGACAAAACAAACTCATCTCCACATTTGGCAGTGTTGTAGCCGAATGACGAGCAAAATGATGGAATCTTTGGCTAGTTTTTTGTGGCGGTCTGCTTAGATGTACAAATGAATTACTGAGCGTACTGGAATCGTGGCTTTCCCTCCTAGAGATGATTTGGAATCAAGAATTGTCTGGCGGTCGACTTAGATGTATAAATGGATTGCTGAGCGTACTGGAATCGTGGTTTTTTCTTCTAGAGATTATTTGGAATCAGGGATTGTAAGTTGCGACATTAACAAGTCAGTTTATGCCGGAGTGCTGAGTAGCTTTGTAGATTATTGGACCTCACCATGATCCTGCATTTGCACAACCCGATGTCTGTTTACAAAACACCAGAGCGGCAACCATACGTTTACGGTAACGAAACGATCGATACAGTGACTTGTGGGAGTAGATCCAATGATAACGACCACAGAAGTCAGAGACATACAACGAGCTCTGTGCAAATCGTTGTACATTGGCAAATCTGTCATTGATGCACCAGCTGATACAATTCTCATCCCTGACTGTTTGACATGTCAGTGCAGTCATCTTAGTGAATTTTAGCCTTGTTGAAGATGGCAACATACTCTTTTATCAAAAGAATACTATTTCATTTCACCCGATATTATCTGTTTTGTGGTGCAAACGGC